CGCGTTTGGGGGAGCCCCGGGAAAGGGGCTCCTGAGCGACAGCGCTGGGCATGGCCGGGAGCTGCCAACCCAAGCAGCCCTTCATGCACCAGTGCTGGGATGGATGTCTTGGGCTCCAGTGCGGTCCCAAATTTCTGTGAGCACGAGCAATACCTCTCTGTTCCCAGAACAGTCTCCTCTGCTGATGGCTCTGCCCTATTTCTCCTGCTCTCTCCCAGAGCAGCTGCTGAAGAGCTCACTCCCATCCTCTCCAGTTACTTTTTACATCCAGGGCTCATTTCCACCTACTCCAGCCACTGCCATCCCTGCTGGGGCTCCCCATCTTCCTTCAGCTCTGCTGACACACCCCCCCAAGCAGGGAGAGGTGCTGGCACCTGCTGCAGCCCTCCCTGGCCAAGCCTCACTGCTTAGAGACCGGGAGCAGGGACCTCTGGGGATGTGATGCCCAGAAGACTTTTTCTCCCCATTTACCTTGCCCACTCCGTTGGTTTGCAGTGCTGCAAATGCCACTTCCCAACTCTTCCAGCGGCTGCTTCACGGACAGGGCAGAGCACAGGCAGCCCTGCTACCCACAGCCTCCATCACCAGCTGCCTTCCCTTTTTATCCCTATTTTCCCTTTCTGTTTTTTTCAGTTCCTTTGGAAAACTGCTACAGAGAGTGAGGAAGGATAACAAGGAGGCACAGGATGTCGAGGAAATAAGAGCAGGGAGCTCCTGCCAGCATTGCCCCCATTCCCACACCGTCCATGCCGATTCCCAGTGCTGCTCCCTGTTCACAGAATCGGAATTGCCGTTGCTTCAACGCATCAGGGATGCCTATGAAGCCCATGCATCTCAGGAAGAGACCTAATGTGTGGAACTCGGGTCAAAGACTTTCAAGAAGAACTTCATGGGATGCCAACAACTCTTTTTCTCCTGTTCTGCTACAGGAACTGCTGAGGCTCTCCTTGGATGCTTTTTCATTGGATGTTGCTATTGCCTTAGATGCTTTTTCCTTGACTGTTATTTTCTTTCTGCTAGTGCTGAGGGAGTGTGCTGCAGGCAGCCACGAGCTCAGGACACCCAGAGAAGGCTTCAGTACCTCAGACTTTTCCTCAACCCTTGTGGCAATGTTTCTCCCTGCATTCAATAAAAACAAAGGTTTCTCCTCATTCCTCCCGCTGTTGCTGATGTGTTTGTAAAAGCAGATTCCGGTCTCCCTTACGGCATTGGCAAAACTCAGTTCCAGCTGGGCCTTTGCTTCTCTACCTGCATGCCCCAACACCATCCTCACCGGCCTCCTGTGGTGCTGCCCTTCTTGGAAATTTGTAAATTCTGTGTTTTCCCTGAGTCCCAGCCAAAGCTTCCTGCTCAGCCACTCTGCTTCCTCACCAGCTGGCCCTTGGGCACACGGGCACGGCCTGTTCCTGCCTGTGTCTTGAAGGATTGCTGCTTGCACAATGTCCAGCCTCCCTGGGCTCCTCTGCCCCTCAGGACAGCGTCCCCAGGGAGCCTCTCAAGCAGCGGGGCTGCACTGACTCACCCTGGGCAGCCCCTCCAACCAGGATGGACCTTTGTCCACATTGTCACTGTCCTGGCCCCAGAGGCCCAGAGCCTGCACCGTGCTGTGCAGAGGGAGCCGGGAAGGTGACAGGGGCCGGGAGGGGATTCCCCTGCTGTCCCAAGCAGGGAGGAACCTGTTTCCATTTGCCCCTTTCTCTTGGGTCCCCCCATTCCTGATGCTCCTGTGCATCCTTGGGAGCTGAAATGAGTGGTATCAGAGAGGGAACTCTTAGTGGCCTTGAGAACCCCTGGGACACAAGCAGAATGTTCTGAGGTTCTTTGAAAATCTGTGATGGAGAGGAGGAATTATGAGGCAGGTGAGGTCAGGTACCACGTGCTTCCCACTCTTCTTCCCCTCTCCAAGTCCTTCCCTTACACTGTGCTTTCCAGGCTCTGCCCATTTACAGACACTTAAATCAGCCCAGTGCCTTCCCAGCGAGTTGAAGGGTGTAGGAAAATCTCTTCCTCCACATCCCAATACCCTGCATTGCACAGCTCAGCCAAGGAGTAATTTTCCTGGGACTCTAGAGCCTGGTAGATAGTTTTCCTACAGGCAATGGCTGCACTTTTTCTTCATCTCTTCTTCTGATGAAGGAACTGCTGAGGCTTTCAGTGGATGCTGCTTCATTGGTGGCTATATCCCAGGAGATGTCCTTGGATCCCAGTTCTTTAGCTGTTGTTTCTTTGTCATTTACTTGCTCTTTTTTTCTTGGATAATACTTCCTTTGAGGCAATATTCTTGGATTTTTCCTTACTATTGTTTCCTTGGCTATTTCCTTAAATTTCCTTCATGGTTCTTGGATTTTTCCTTACTATTGTTTCCTTGGCTATTTCCTTAAATTTCCTTCATGGTTATTTCCTTGCCCCTGTTTCCTTGGATGTTGTTTCCTTGCTGTTATTCCAGATGGAAGAAACCTAAGGAAATGCTGTTACCCAGAGATAAGATGTTCCTGCCCTGGCCCTACCCTGACTCCATGGTCCCTCTCTGCAGAGGAGGATGCTGCGGGTGGGTGCCATGCTGAGGACACCCCAAAGTCCCCTGGGGACTGGGACAGGGGGATCCAGCAAGCCCCGGCTGTCTCAAGCAGTCACCACAGCCCAGCCTCCGGAGCCTTGCCAGGGCCATGATATTCTGGGGGCACCCTGCACGTGTGATGGGGTCCACGTGTGTCCAAATGTCTGTCCATGTATGTCCAGGTGTGTGTCCAGCTGTGTCCAGGTGTGTGTCCAGCTGTGTCCATGACTGTGTCCAGCCGTGTCCAGGTGTGTGTCCAGCTGTGTCCATGACTGTGTCCAGCCGTGTCCAAGTGTGTGTCCAGCTGTGTCCAGCTGTGTGTCCAGCTGTGTCCATGACTGTGTCCCGCTGTGTCCAGCTGTGTGTCCAGCTGTGTCCATGACTGTGTCCCGCCGTGTCCAGGTGTGTGTCCAGCTGTGTCCAGCTGTGTGTCCGGCCGTGTCCAGCTGTGTGTCCAGCTGTGTGTCCAGCTGTGTCCATGACTGTGTCCCGCTGTGTCCAGGTGTGTGTCCAGCTGTGTCCATGACTGTGTCCAGCCGTGTCCAGCTGTGTGTCCAGCTGTGTCCAGCTGTGTGTCCAGCTGTGTGTCCGGCTGTGTCCAGCTGTGTGTCCAGCTGTGTCCAGCTGTGTGTCCGGCTGTGTCCAGCTGTGTGTCCAGCTGTGTCCGTGCGTGTCCAGGATCCCGCGCGCGGCGCCTCGGGGCGTGGCCTGGC